AATTGACGATTCGATGTTTTAAGCATTCGACCATTTGACGATTCGATGTTTTTAGCATTGGACGAAATGACGATTAGATGTTTTGAATATTTGATCAATTGACGATTCGAGGTTGTTAGCATTTTTTAAAAAAGATATTTTATTTAAATAAATTATATTTTACTACATTTAGATTTGACAGACATTTGTTAAATTACAATTTATACAAATTAAAAATTATAACACTTTAAAATTAGGTTATTATAAAATTATAAAAAATAAACTTTAGCTTATACAACTATTTTATCAGTTGAAAGTTTGCGTGAAAAAATTTTATAATTGCTTATGATTATAGAAAAAGCGAATTGGATATTTTGATTATTGGCTTAAAAATAAATTATAGAATAAACTCATTTTATTAATTAGACTTTTATATAAAATCACATTATATTCTATGTTCTTTAGATCATTTGAATATTTATAACCTTTAAATTAGATCAAATGACTATTAGAGCATTTGCATAAACGGGGATAAACAGGCGTCTCTTTAAATAAATAGCACGTGTATCTGCTTCTATGTAGCACGTGTTCTTTTCGATTTATAAGATGGTTAATTTTGAGCAAGTGTTTGTTCCCAAAATGAAACAAAAAGTGGAATTGAGGATCGAGAGCTAATTATTGAAAAGCAAAAATTTTTTCAAGAAACTGGAAGTGAACAAAAAATTGAATTTAACCGAATCTAAGAAATCATATAAACTGTAAAGGCGCTCTCACAGCTAGTAGGCAGCATATAAATTTGAATTTACTGTCTCTTTCACTCTAATTGATTTTCTCTCTTACTCCAATTACTGCCTGCGCAGGCAGGCAGAGCTGTGAGAGCTCCATAAGGAGCTTATATTCAATGATCTAAACAAGTGAATCATCAGATTGAAGGTCGTAAATATAAACACTTAAAATAAACACTATACCGATAACTGATATCTTATACAATTATAATTAACAGTCACTTCCTTCTAAATTCTTTCCCAAATAAAATAAATAAAATAAATTAGCTTTACGAAATAACTCATATTTAATTTTTGTTTTCTTCTATTCTGTTTAAGAATTATAAAAATCGAGTCAAGTAAATACAGATTTGGTGAAATTTAATTTTTGTAGTTATTGATATAAATAGTAAATAATTTGAAATTGGATTCTGGGACATTTTCTCTCTATTGGGAACTTATAAATACTAATCTTAATTTAACTATCTTTTTGGATATAAGTAATAACTTATTAAACAGTAAAATAGACGAAATTTAATCTGTTTTTTTTATCTATTGTCATAAGATGTCCCTGTAAGGAAAAAAAAAGAGAATAAATAAATAAAATTAAAAAAAAAGAAACAAAGTAAATAAAACTACAGCAATAGTAGTAATGACAATAAATAGTCAACTAAACAATAAAAGAAAGTTTTGAATTTAATTCCTTTCCTACTCAGACTTACCAACCTTACTGCCCTAAAGTGACAACCAACCAGTAGAACTTGTGAAATAAGCGGATCTTTTTTTTTTTTGTTGGTTACATGGCTTGTTGCATAGCAGGAGACGCATGCATATCCCCTAATCGCCAAGTCGTCGAATGATCAAATAATCGAATGCCAAGTAATCGAATGGACAAAACGTCGAATGCTAAAAACATCGAATCGTCATTTAGTCGAATGATAAAAACATCGAATCGGCATTTAGTCGAATGTTCAAAACGTCGAATGATTAAAACGTCGAATGCTAAAAACGTCGAATCGTCAATACGACGAATGTTCAAAAAGTCGAATTATCAATTCGTCGAATGTTAAAAACATCGAATTGTCAATACGTCGAATGTTCAAAACGTCGAATGATAAAAACGTCGAATGCTAAAAACAACGAATCGTCATGTAGTCGAATGCTAAAAATATCGAATCTTCAGTTAATCGAATGCTAAAAACATCGAATTCTCAATTCGTCGAATGTTCAAAACGTCGAATGTTTAAAACGTCGAATGCTAAAAACGTCGAATGTTCAAAATGTCGAATGCTCAAAACGTCGAATGATAAAAACGTCGAATGCTAAAAACTTCGAATCGTCATTTAGTCGAATGATAAAAACATCGAATCGTCAATACTTCGAATGCTAAAAACATCGAATTGTTAATTCATCGAATGCTTAAATCATCGAATTTTTCATTCGTCGAATGTTCAAAACGTCGAATGATCAAAACGTCGAATGCTAAAAACGTCGAATTCTCAAATCGTCGAATGCTCAAATAATCGAAACGCCATCTGTTCGAAATGTCAAGTAGTAGAATGGTAAAGTAGTCGAATGGTAAAGTAGTCGAAACGCCATCTGTTCGAATTGCCAAGTAGTAGAATGGTAAAGTAGTCGAATGTTCAAAACGTCGAATGATAAAAATGTCGAATGCTCAGAACATCGAACTGTTAATTCGTCGAATGCTCAAAACGTCGAATGATAAAAACGTCGAATGCTAAAAACATCGAATCGTCAAAAGTTCGAAAAAGTTCTTTGTTTTAAGTTAATGTCTACTGAAGACAAAGAACTTTTTCGAACTTTTGACGATTCGATGTTTTTAGCATTCGACGTTTTTATCATTCGACGTTTTGAGCATTCGATGAATTAACAGTTCGATGTTCTGAGCATTCGACATTTTTATCATTCGACGTTTTGAACATTCGACTACTTTACCATTCTACTACTTGGCAATTCGAACAGATGGCGTTTCGACTCCTTTACCATTCGACTACTTTACCATTCTACTACTTGACATTTCGAACAGATGGCGTTTCGATTATTTGAGTGTGGGGATTGGCCAATAGATCTCGCATCTACGCCAATTTCCCATATAGATCTCTCACAAGTGCAATACGGGCTAGTCTTGTAGCATATATACAAGTTCCGAATTTGCTTTCCCCGTCTAGGGCAGGTCTCCCACTACGTAGCCTTACTGATGAGTCCAAGTAGTGGGGACCGGGACGAAACGATATAAAGTGGTCTTCATACCACTCTATGGATGATATACTTTTAAAATCTCCATATGAGCATTCGACGATTTGAGAATTCGACGTTTTTAGCATTCGACGTTTTGATCATTCGACGTTTTGAACATTCGACGAATGAAGAATTCGATGATTTAAGCATTCGATGAATTAACAATTCGATGTTTTTAGCATTCGAAGTATTGACGATTCGATGTTTTTATCATTCGACTAAATGACGATTCGAAGTTTTTAGCATTCGACGTTTTTATCATTCGACGTTTTGAGCATTCGACATTTTGAACATTCGACGTTTTTAGCATTCGACGTTTTAAACATTCGACGTTTTGAACATTCGACGAATTGAGAATTCGATGTTTTTAGCATTCGATTAAGTGAAGATTCGATATTTTTAGCATTCGACTACATGACGCTTCGATGTTTTTAGCATTCGACGTTTTTATCATTCGACGTTTTGAACATTCGACCAGTGATGGGAAGTGACGCGTCACTTTAGATTTTCTACGTAAAATACCTCAAACGAGGTATTTTACGTAATAAACTGTAAAATACTGTAAATTACACGTTCAATATGGCGGACTTATTATTATTTTTAATTTGACCGTTTGACGTCCTATTTTTTTATGTTTTTAATAAATAACACTGTAATTATTTAAGATTTAAAAACCTTTTATTACAAAAAAGTGTTTTATTACACATTGTCTAAGGCAAGAAAAAACGATATTTTTGAGAAAAACCGGCTTTCTTCAACTCCATTGAAATTACCTGGTTCAAATGAAATCGTTTATAACCTCACATTTTGTTGTCAACAATGTTGCAGAGACATAAAATTAAACAAAATCACGAATCACCTTAGATTAAGGAAGAATCTGATGTACAGTTAAAATAAAAGTTATTCCAACACGGAAAAGTTTTTGGGCGAGCAGACGTCTCTCACTCGCCTCCCACAGAAAAGGTTTTCTGCTTTCTCTCTAAAGAGAGCTCTGATGCCCCACAAGAGAGCTCTGACGCCCCACAGTAGGAAAGCAGCAGTCTCTGTGGGTGAAATGAGCTACCAAAATGGGGCTGTCACTTTACCATAGGTACTGGTCACTCAGCGCCACCACAACAGGTACAGCGACTCGCCCAAGAACTTTTCCGTGAATGTCATAATTTCGTAATTTAAAATAAGAAGACAAATTTTTCAGATCTCAATAAGAAACATTTGTTAAATTTTAGGTTATGTTACTTAAATCGTTTATTATTGACAAAAAATTATATTATATCCGATTGTTTGTCGGATTCTTCCTTAATTTGCAAGAAAATATTAAAGAATGTTGGGTATAATGATATATAACGATGCCTGCCACCTTTGCTCATCGGTTTATTTAAATTTTAAATAATTAGTTTGACAGTTTGGAGGTTATGTTCCAGTAATTTACCTCGTGTCAAAAACTAGTCAAGTAATTTACCTTGTATTTTACCGTAAAAAACCACGTAATTTACCTGAGGTATTTTACGCGCCCAACCCTGCATTCGACGTATTGACAATTCGATGTTTTTAACATTCGACGAATTGATAATTCGACGTTTTGAACATTCGTCGTATTGACGATTCGACGTTTTTAGCATTCGACGTTTTAATCATTCGACGTTTTGAACATTCGACTAAATGCCGATTCGATGTTTTTAGCATTCGACGTTTTGTCCATTCGATGTTTTTAGCATTCGACGTTTTGTCCATTCGATTACTTGGCATTCGACTATTTGATCATTCGACGACTTGGTGATTAAGGCCTAAGCACAATAGGTTCGCGAAAGTCGTTCGCGAACGCAAAGCATGAGTTAGAAAAGGACAGAGATATATTTGTGTCCTTGTCTATCTCATGTGTCTCGTTCGCGAACGACTTTCGCGAACCTATTGTGCGTTGGACTTTAGGGGATATGCATGCGTCTCCATAGCAGGTAGCCAAAACACAAATAAGCGGATCTCTCCCGGCACAGTGATAATTGATACACATACTCGGATATTTGTGTGCGTTGGTTAATCGGTTCTAACGGAACATTTGGCCTTTCATTGGCTCAACTACAAACTTAATTTCTGATACAGCCTATCCAAGTGATAATATATATTTACGTGAATTGTATTGGCTATTTGTCCTATTTAAGGGACCAGAGGCCATTAAAACCATAAAAACCATAAGAAAGAAAGTTTGTAAATATTGTTCCCGGCACAGTGATAATTGACTAACTACATTCTCGGTTATTTGTGTGTGTTAACTGAACTGTACTAACGGAATATTCAGCCTTTCATTGGTTCAACTACAAACTTAATTCTAATACAGCCTATCCAAGTGATAATATACGTGAATAAATAAATATACGTGAATATAATACGTGAATTGTATTGGCTATTTGTCCTATTTAATTTTAAAGGACCAGAGGCCATTAAACCAAGAGAAAGAAAGAAAGAAAGACGTTTCTTGATTTTGAGGTTATATTCTATATATTACGTCAAATATCAACGATCAACATGAATGAAGAGATAACTAAATTTGATAGTTCTCTCAATAAAAACCACAATTTTAATTTTCATCATAATGAAAAAGTTACACTTGATGCTAATAAGGATTTACCTGTGTTAGATAGACATAAAAATCTAATTAATTTTTATTATCGTTTTCGAGGAGGCTATAAAAAAGACATTCAAGAAGACACGTAAGTCGAAAGTTATATATTTTAAGTATTTTATTTTTATACTAAACTAAATTAGCCCCATTCTATATTTTATTTAATATCAACTTTTTCATAAAAGGTAAAATTACAATTTTTATATTTCATTTACAATTACATATTTTTAATATTGAAGATACGTTTGGTTTAAAAATACGCTGTGTCTATTTCGCCCGCAAACGGGCGAAATAAGAGTGATGAATTATTTCGCCCGTCATTAAAAATACGTAGGTAGGGGACAACTGGCGAAATAAGAGAGATGAATTATTTCGCCCGTCATGAAAAATTAGTAAGTAGGGGGGGAAACAGGCGAAATAAAAATAGTAAATTATTTCGCCCATCATGAAAAATAAGTAAAAATATGTAAAACGGGCGAAGTAGCAATGACACATTGCTTCGCCCGTTTTTGGTTTTTTAATTAATTTTAATGGGAAAAAGGTTAGCTTATCACTTGTATATTTTTGTGAAGATTGAATTAAAAACTTAAAAAGTTGTGAATTTTTATAATAATTCACAAAGTTTCTTTATTTATCAATATTTTTGGTGCTCATTAGTAATTTTCTACATAATATTTTATAAAATAAACTAGATTATGTATTTTAATATTTTTTCTACCTATCTATGTAGACTAAAAACATTAATTTTTAGAAAATTCTTATTATTTTTGTTCAAATCAGTTCAAAAGTATATTAACTCAGATTTGGAAAATAAGTTTTATGATACTATTTTTGAAAGAAAAATTTAGAAATAATTTTATTTTTTTTTATTTTGATTGACAAAAACATTTTTTTAAAGAAAGTGTGAAAGTGTGAAATTCATTTTAAAACTTAAATAAAGAAACTGTACTTTTTTTAAAAATGAGCTACACATAATTATTTGAATTTGGTGTGAAGGTTACTAACCTGACTTGAACACACTTCTTTTCATTTCTGTCATTCACCTTAAAAATTTAAAATTTTTCAATGGTATTATAGGAATAACTATATAACGGGCGAAATAATTCATTGCTCTTATTTCGCCCGTTGTCCCCCACCTACGTATTTTTAGTGACGGGCGAAATAATTCATCACTCTTATTTCGCCCGTTTGCGGGCGAAATAGACACAGCGTTAAAAATACTGTCATCAACATTTCTAGATTATTGTTTTCAAATGAATTAATTTTTAAACAATTTCCAGCATTCGTAAAATAATGTATCATAAAAATATTTATTATACATTGATAATTTGATAATGTAGGTATTATTGTAAAAAATTATTTTCTTTTGACGATACAATTACAGGTACTTTACATAAAGTTGTAAGTTTTTTTTCATTTTTTTACATTTCAAAAAGGTAGGGTAGTTTAATTATAAATTTGAATTACAATAAACAGCTCTTGACGTTTCAACGTCTGTTTCGAGGTCACGGGATAAAAATGATTTCGACGTAATTCGAGAAAATCATAAATTTCTCTGGGATGAAGATGATGATCAAGAAGACGAACCAGAATCATGGGAAGCACGTCTTGCTAAAAAGTATTATGACAAATTGTTTAAGGAATATTGCATTTCCGACTTGACTCATTATAAATATAATAAGGTACTATTTTAATTTTATTATATATACCTATTTTACGTTTATTTGTGTATCTGGGCGAGAACAGATGGATTTCTTGGAAATGCTCATCTAGTTAATTTTTTAATAATTTATATTTCGTGTATTGCATTCAGATAGCATTGCGATGGCGGACAGAGAAAGAAGTAATTGAAGGCAAAGGTCAATTTCAATGTGGAAACAAAAAATGTGGCAATAAATATCAACTCCGATCATGGGAAGTAAATTTTGGTTATATGGAACATGGAGAGAAAAAGAATGCTTTAGTAAAATTAAGTAAGTTCAAAAAATAGAAAAGTTCCTTTTATATATATATATATATATAAATTAGACTTTTGTCTGTACATTCCTTAGAACTCTAAATTTCGCACATCATTTTTCGTTTTGAGCAACAATATTAATATAATATTATTTTTTATTATTAATTAATTAATAAATAAATCTAACACTCGACCGAGTGTTAGATCTTGGCCCAAATTAGGTTTATAAATTTATAGATTTGAAAAATATTAATTAGAACGGAAGATATTCCATTTTTTCAAAAATTTTCAAATTTTATAGGTAGTTTTTAATGGAATGTTTTTAAACTTTTTATAATTGAATATTACACATTATGTAGTCATATATTAGCATAATTTTGCAAAAAACACGATAGTATTTTTATAACTGAGATACGTATAAGATATAAGTTTAAAAGTACTAAGATATAAGTATAAAATTGTTTTCGGGATCAAAAAAATTGAAAAAATTACAGGGTTCGAACTAGGTCCGTAAATCCCGTAAAAATCCGTAACTTTGCTTGAAGTCCGTAAAAGTCCGTTTTTTTTTAAAAAAGGCCCGTAAAGTCCGTAATTTTTATTAAAAAAGGATGAAATGTTCGTAAACTGTACGATATAATTTGGAGAATTTTAGAGAAATTACAAATGATTGCAAAATTCAATTATTTTCAAAAGTAAATTCTTATCACACAAATTTAATTTATGTTCAAAGTTTTTTTTTAAATTCTCGTCAAAATTTCAATTATTTTTAGAAATAATTAGATACTTCTCCAAAATCCAATTGTATTAAAATATTTTAATAAAATTTTTGGCAAAATTTCAATTATTTTCAAAAATTATCCTCAATTTAATGATATTTAATATAGGTATCTACTATTCTAATAAAGTTTCCAAAAGAATTAAATTATTTAAAAAAAATTTAATAAATTTCTAGACAAACCTTTAATTATTTCCAAAAAGTAATAAAAATTTCAGTTATTTCATTATTTACAATTTTTTTTATAAATTTCTTCCCAATAATTCAATTATTTTCATAAATAATAAAAAAATTTTACAGGGATTCAATTATTTTCGTAAATAATAAAATTCTTTTTAGGAATTCAATTATTTTCATAAATAATAAAACTCATTGCAGAATTTTAATTATTTTTAATACAATTTTAATCGAAATCCTCGAAATATGTAATTATTCTTAAAAATGTTATTAAAATTCGTCAAAACAATTTAATTATTTAAAAATTTATTAATAAAATTCTTTATGAGAATTCAATTTTAAGAAACATTCAATTATTCAATAAATTATATAATTTTGTAATTTAAGTAATTGAATTCTTGTAGAATTTTCTATTAAAAATTCATTAAAAAATGAATTTCAGTTAAAATTTGAGATAATAATTGAATATTAAAAGCATTATAGCGTGATTTTTTAGAAATAATAGAATTTTAAAAAGCTTTTACATTAAAACCTTTTGAAATTTGAATTTTTCATATTTTTAACTAACAATTCTGTAGAATTAATTTGTTTTGAGAAAGTTTAATTGCGGATTTTTTTTGAAATTATTTAAAGTTTTTATTTTCTAAATATAAAAAATTATTGAAGAATTATTAAAGAATATAATAGAATTGAAGAATATAATTATTAAAGAATTATTGAAGAATTTACGAATAATTGAAATTTTGTAAAATTGAATTGTGAACAAATGAATTTGAAAATTCTGAATGAATTTTTTCAAAAATTATTAAAAATAATGGATTTATAGAAGAATTTTAGTTAAAAACACGAAAAAAAAAAATTTAATTTTGGAAAAGTTACAAATTATTGCAGAAATTCAATTATTTTCAAGAATAATATTATAATAAATTATAATAAATTGTTACTAAATACTATCAAGATTAATTCAGGGTATTTTTAGGGTCTCTGATTAAGATTGAGACGTACAATTAAGAATTGAGGCTCCGGATCTTAAAAGGGCACACGCGCGAACACACGGCAAATAAGTTGGCCCCTGGAGATAAAATTTTGAAGTTGTTCAAAATGAATTTTAAATTATTGTTTCTTGTACAGAATTTCAAGGCGAAACTTTTTTTCTAATAAAAATTTTTTATATAATTTCTCGTTTTCACGTAAATTGAAAAAAACGTGATTTTTTGAGTTAAGAAATTTTAATGAATTTTTTACTTCAACTCGTGACTACTTCGTTAAATATTAATATTTTTCCACGAAATTTACACACAATATTCTTCAAACTATTCCAAAAGTGAAACAATATTTGGAAATTTAAAAAAAAATTGTATGTCAAAGTAAATAATTATTTAAATAATTTTGTCGGAAAAATGATTCTCCTATTTTCAATTGAAAAAGTTGAGTGACGAATTTTCGTTTTCGGAAAACTTTCAGCGACAAAAATGTTCATTAATATGTTAGGAAGTTTTTTGGAAAATATCTCGCTATTTGATAATAAATTAAAGACAATAGAGCAATTTTAACATCGTCGCGCTCTGCTGTAAACGTAAACAATGATACATTGGTCTTGTAATGGCGGCCATGCTACACGTGTGCCGCCACGAAAAAGTGTTTCTTATAAATTGATATTATGTCAAATTGAATTTCTTACAAATATAAAATCCATTGGATTTGACATTCTGCCAAATTATAATTCAGACATTTAAGTATTCTATTAAATTAGAATTCGTTTCACTTTCATTTCTTGTAAATTAATATTCTTTTTAATTAACATTCTATAAAATTACCATTTGCCTAAGAAAAATTTTTGTCATACAAGAGTTAATTAAATTATACATTTTTTCATATATCATTTTTTCTAAATAATACATTGTATTAATAAAAGTTTATTTAAATATATATTCCAATAAATAAGATTTTTTGAAAATTGAAAGATTGGCACATAAATATTCTATTAAACAAAGAATTTGAGACTTTAAATATTTGCTTAACAAATTTTTTTACAAATTGTAATCTTTTTCTATAAAATATCGTTCAAATCTATTTTAGTTTTAAAGATATTTTTGTTTAATTATTATTCTTATTCTAAAAAATTCTTTCAATTAAGACTTATGTTGTTTAAAAAGTATTTTTACTTAAAATTTGATTAATGATTCATTACTTAATAAGACATTATTTACCTATAAGCATTCTGTCTTACAATTATTTTTTAGAGCTAAAATTATACTAAAGTGATGTTTTGAGAAATAAAATAATATCTCGCAAATACCTATTCTAGTAAATCATCTATATGGGATAAGAAGTCGCGCCCATTTGAAGGTTTGTAATAAATTTTTGGCCAGGAGAACAGTAAAATTACGAAACATCAGAAAATGTAATTAATTACATTTAATTTTTCTACTGGGATAATTTTTGGGTTTCTGGCTGGAAACATGAAAGAATTTTTGAAAAAGAAGATTTTTTAGATTTCTTTCCTTCATCCTGTTCTAAAATTGAGAGAACTTCAGAAACTTTAAAAAAGGGAGACTAACAATTTTTCAAGCACTAAAAATAATTTAAAAATTTTTTATTATGCTATCATTACGCTACTGAGTTTAAAAGTTATAAGAAATGTCCAAACAAAAGTCAATGAAATTTTCAAAGATGTAATTCTGTCGGTCACGCTACTAATCTGGTGATTACGATGTTGCTTGTTTTTAGCTAGTTTCTAACAAACATTATTTTAAACAGGATTGTGTCCTGAATGCTCAGTTCAATTAAATTATCGATCAAAAAAACGTGAAATTAAAAGAAAAAAATCACTCAAACGATTACATCATTGCTCAATATCACAAGATCATTCTGGTCCATCGCGTCAAATTGAAACTGATGTCAAAGAAACAGATAATGCGGAAAGTTCATCGTCCGAAGAATCCTTATTGACAAAGGAAACCTTAACAACAAATGAGAATCAAAACGAATCAGATATTTGGAAAAATATACCAACCGAAGAAGAAAAAACAAGAGAAGACGAATTTGAGGAATATTTGGCTGATTTATTGCTTTGATTCGTAGTAAAAAAAATTCTCACTTACTAATTTACGCATTTGTTTAAAATAAATTTTTTAAATTCTACAGGTAACATGAATTTATTAAAAATAAAATAAAACTTTATAGCACCTTACATTGTGCATTTACAATATTTAAAACTGTACAATCGTCACTGACAAAAATATTCTTTTCAATTTTGAAGAATTCTATTGATTATTTAATGAGTTTTGTTTAAATTGAAACTAATAAAAAGTTGCAGCTTATATTAAGAGGTTTTGTAACATTTTTGGGTCCAAAAAATCGATTATTTTTATTTCATTTTTCCATAAAGAAAAATATGTCAAGAATATGTGGTCTTAATATTATAGTTATTTGGTCATAAACTTAAATTATTATTTAACAAAATCTATATAAATGAAATTCAAGTTTCGAAAGAGAATTTCATCAACCCTTTTCAGAATTTTTCCATTCTAATTTTTTAAAATTTAATTATTTTTGTTTACATTTTTTCAAAAATTTAAATACATACAAAAAATAACATTAAAATTTGTTAGAATCATTATTAACATTTTGGAAAAAATAATCATATTCAAAATTTTTAATTAAAATTCTTCAAAAAAATTAATTATATTTTTTTAAATTATACAAAAATTCTTTTTAGAAATTCAATTACTTTCGAAAAATTACATTACAATATTTATAAAAAAACTTATTCTTCGAATTGTTTTGTCATAATTTTTTAAGATTCAATTACTTTCGAACAAAGTAAATTAAAATTATTTAAAATTTACTTTTTTAGACTTATTATAATTTCGGAGAAATCATTTGTAATTAAAATTCTTTAAAAATTTGATTATTTTTTTATATTTTTTGAAAACTTAATCATTTTAAAAAAATTTTATCAAATTTCAATTATTTTTTAAAGATTTTACCAAATTTCAATTTTTTGGACATATTTTAATTTTAAAAATATTGTCTTTCAAAAATTATTTAGAAATATTTAAAAAATATTAATTTTAAGAATTTCTTTATTAAAATTTTTGAAAATATTCTACCTTAATACTTTTAAAATAAAAATGGACAGTTTTAATTATAAAAAATTGAATTTTTGTATTGAAATAATTGAATTCTCGAAGAACTTTCGCAAAATTATTAAAAATTAATATAGATAATTGATTTAGAGATACAGTTTAGTTCAGAATTGTGAAAAATAATTGAATTTTGGAAGAGTTATTGTTGTAATTTTTAGAAATTGATGAATTTCAGAAGTTGAAATTTAAAAAATTCTATTTCCCGTGAGAAAAGAAATAAGAAGTATTTAAATATTTATTTAGCAAAATTATTCGAGTTTTGATTAACTGAATTTGGAAATCAGTGAAGAATCAGGGAAATACAAAATAAAATTTTTTGTGACAACACTGACTTAATTAAACGACTTTTTCGACTTTTTTTCTATTTCCGAGGCCTGTTTCTTGTGTCAATTTAGATCAATTATTTTGTTCTCAGACATTTTTTATTTGTTTTTTTTTTTAATATTTCTTGAGCATTTAAAATTTACATAAAAAAATTTAAATAAAAGTCATTAAAGGCCATCTCACCCAATAATACATAATAAAAGTAAACATAAAAATATTAAATAAAATTATTTTCCCTTTCATTTTTTGTTTATATCAAAGCGTGGGTTATATACTACTCGATAAAACATAAAATTAAAAATTATCAATTAAAAAATAGCAATATTACAATAAGAAATCTGAAATTCTCAAATTGTTTTAGCCCCTTCCAAAAAAAAATGAAACACATTTTCATTATTTTTTTTCAATAATTATATTATATTACATATTATAATTAAATAATTAATTGAAGTTAAAGTTAGGTTTTTTACTACATATACTTTATATTTTATTTTCCAAAAAATTATTATCTATATCAATATATTTAAAATTATTTAGTAAAATTATTAAAATTTCAAACAAAATCTAGAAGTTATTTAATTTTATCTTTTTTAAATTATTTTATATTGTTGAACGGAAATAGTTAGAGCATTGCAATTTTAATTATAGAAGGGTTTTTCACTCTAAATAAATGTCCGGATTTATGTGACATTCTGTTCATTTTTGTGGTGTCCATATTTAAAGTTTGTTTTTACTCTACTTTTGACAATTTTTTCGTAAAAGAAAATATCAACTTTTAAGTATATTTTTTGAATTTATTCTCATCGCGATTTTTTCAGGTCCTTATTTGAGTCCCCTGAAGAGATACCTAAAGGTATTTGCTAAATGGCTAAATATCTTTAGTCAGATTTTTTATATTTGTTGTTAAAGCCAAAAATGCACCCTGGGGCGAAATGTTAAATGTATTTATTTTTACATGTTGTAAAAAATTTTTTTTACATTTTTTGTTTTTTGGGGTTTATTTGTTTAAAAATTATTTATTTGTCATTAGGTAATTACTCTGTCAAAAAACAAGACCGTTCACGTGAAATAAACCAAAAAAAAAATTTTTTTTTAAATTTTAATTTATTAACTTTATAACTGTTCTAAAGCTTTTGTTAAATAAACACAGATCTTTTATTAACTAAATTACTTGTTTACGTATACTTTAACTTATCTACTACTTAACACCTATCAGAAAATAGTTTTAGTAGGCTAGAAATAGAATTTAACATTTAACCCCAGCCACAAAATTTTCAAAAAAGGACAAAACATGTATTTTATGTGAAAGTATCAGAAACTTTTTTATTGAAAGTTGTAGAGGACAAGTTGCCCTACAATATTGATATATAAATATTTGCATCTAAGCGGATTATATTGTGTAAAAAAAATCATTTATGCAAAATTTAACCTTTCGCCCCAGTCTCCCCTATAATCATTTTTTTACCTTTTATATTCTTAGAATAATAACAATTTTTGTAAAAATGAAAATTATTTTTAATTTGAAAGTGAAAGTATCAAATAATAATTTTTGCGAAATTCAATTTTTTTCGTACAACAAGAAAGTTTAATTAACTATTTTGAATTTAGAAAATCTGATGTCAAATTTGAAATTAGTATCAAAATTTGTTAAAGTTTTTTTTTGTATAGGTACTTTAATGTTTTTAAATAGTATAAATTGAAAATTTAATTCTAATTATTTTTTCAGTTATGTGCCATAAATAATTATTTCTTTAAAAATTTCTTCTAAAAAAATTTTATCAGCTTTTTTTTAATTTACTCTGGAATATCTACAAAAATGAATTAATAAAGCAGAAATGATCAAAAAAATGTTTACTCAACATTATAAAAAAACAAACTTCAATGCATAAAATAGCCACATCCAGAGGGCTATATTTATTGGGCACGACATATTTTTTGTACATATTTTTTGACATATTTTTTGTAACTAAAATAGAATATAATGTTGTACAATACATTTTTTATAAAAAAAAATTATTAATTTTTCATTAGAAAACTAATATATAGGTATGTATTGTTTATTAAAGTTCTGTTATAATGGAAACACGTATTTCCCAACTGCAAATAATTATTTATTTGAAAATTTCTGTTTCTAAATTAATTAAATCACATTGTTCAAAAGTTATTTGAAACGATAATTAGGTATATAAATTCTGGTTAATATACTCTTCATCTTTTACATTTTTGCAGCATCAAGGTCACTCTCCAAGAGAATCACATAAGACTCTTTTGGGAGTTCCAGTGTATATCAAATGCTTGATTTTCTTTTTTTCTTTTATAATAATTTGAATTTTAATAAATCGTTGAGTTAAAAAATAGCTATTTGGTGCCCAAAATAGCCCTGTTTGACGGTAGACTAATAATATTAAGCTTAACAGTTTTTGCACTTTTGACTTTTTTACAGTAGTTAGAGTTATAGTTATAGTGGTAACCATATATGGAAATAATTTTTAATAATAGGCAAAGCGCCCTCTATAGAATAAAGATACTCAAGTTTTTCAAGATCGCAAATTTTTTTATAATAGTTCTTGACATACATAATTGCATATATAAAATTTCAGATTAATTATATTTGAAAACTTATAAGCAAGAAAATTTTTTATAAACCTTCCATTTTAGTTTCAAAAAAGTTACAAAATCTCTTAGAGAATTTATTTATAAAAATTTCTAAAATTATAATTTTTCTTTTTTTCTATATAAAATGAGTCTCGCAGTATCTTTGATTTACAATGAGTTCTTAACTATCATTAAGTAATGATAATGACAAATTTCTCACTTACATAATAACGGCTAATTTATTATTACACAACAATTAATAAATTATTTTAATTATTATGTAATAGTAGACAATTTATCACCTAATATATGTATTAAAAAACATTTTCTTCCTCTACTGTGCAAATACAAAATTCATTGAACATTCGTCAGAGAATAATAAAAATTGAACTTTCATTTTATAATAATCACTATCGATTAAAGGCATTGACACATTTTAAATTAAATAAGTGCCAAACATTTTTGACAGAAAACATATTTTGAAATTTTAAATTTTCCTACATAGCGCTTTATTTAACAACAATAGAATAAACATGCCAAAGAAAGTTATAAAATTAATAAAATATTTGCAAATAATTTTCTTAATATTGTTTATATTATTGTCGATAAAATGTTTTTTTTTCAATAAATGTATACATTTATATCTTTTAAACTTTACTTAAAATTATAGATTAATTCCTTGAAATTTCACTTGGAACGAAAACAAAATGCTATAGAAATTATCTTTTCATTTGAGAAGATTTTTTAAAAAATATGAATTTGAACAAATACATTGACAATCATTTATATTAATAATGATAATAAAAAGATTCTATATATGGATAAGTATAAAATAAATTTTGATTAACCTTAACAGTATATTTGAAATTTTATAAAAACATTAACAAGTGAACGAACTACTGTCATTGCTTTTAATACTTAACACACCTGTTAATGAATTTTTCGATGTAAAAATCCTTGAGTTTTGAAAAATAATTTTGCAAATTTGCAAAATTCTTTGATCGAGAATTAGTTGGAATTATTCAATTTAAGGTTCTTTTTCCTTTTGAGTTTTTTCTTGCACTCCCTGTTTTTGAGAATCACTATCCTCGTCACTGCAATCTTCATCATGTGTGTGTGTAACATTCCTTGGAGTTTCTGGTCTAGCGTGTGGAATTTGAATATTGTTCGTCTCTACTTCTAAAGTTTTCTAAAAGTTTTAGGGATGATTTTAATATATTTAAAAACTATTTTCGTTTTAACTTTGCAAAATGAAAAAACTTACAGTTATTATTCGGCTGTGCTCTTCCTCCTCATCAGGAAGTTTAAAAGGTCGTGTTCGACTAATCATTGGTGTCTCCATAACAAATCGTTGTTCATGAGCAACTGTACTTTCGTGGGGCATCTAGAAATTTAAAAATACGAAATAAAGAAAACTTAAGTAAAAAGGAAAAAAATATTTTTTTGTAATTTTAATTAAAAAATACTTACAAGCATAGCAGGCGCTCTAAACATATACGAGAAAGGATAGTAAATTAAATTTAAAAATGTGGCAGCGTAAAGATCTGCATATCTGACAACTTGACTACTGAAAAACGTTTGCCTGCTGCCACTTCGAAAAAGCGATCCCATCATTCCATAAGCTAAATCCATTTTATGTGTCACGTCTCTTATTGATGCTCTTAATTTTGAAATATCAGGTTTTTCTTTGGTGCTACTGTCTAAATTTCTGGAAAAGAAAAGTTCTTGTTTTTAAGAAAAACACTAAAACAGTTTTCATAAAAATTAACTGTCGTCAGCGTGTTTTGTTTCTTTTAAAATATTATTTTCGCCAAATTTATTTATTTAACTCAATTCTTTATAATTTTCTATTAACTAAAAATTCTATTCGTCTCAATATTTATTTTATTTTACTTACTTGTACATTTCTCCCAACATAACGTCCAAACTTTGTAGTTCAGCGAATAGTTGACATTTGTCAGTCCAAACGTGAAGTTCTTGGACCAATTCAGGAACTATCAAAAATGTTCTCCAACCCCTAATTTTTTTACTTTTTAAAATGTCACCAAATATATGATCACCTACGTACAAGACATCTTTACCTTTAGCTCCAATCATTTCTGTGAAAACGTCACATGAACCCCCTGAATAAACCTCACCTGCAATTGAAAGTGAATTAGAATTTTTTTTATATATTTATTTGGACACCTTGAAACAATTTAATTGTTTTTAAATTGTATTTTTAAAAAAAGAGTTTTGAATTTTCAAATAATTTCAAACTTTAAATTATTCAAACCACAAAAATACCTCTATACACTATTCTATAAATTAGCTATTCCTTAAAAATTAAAAAGAAATTATTAATGTGAATTAGAGAAAATTAAATAATTTTTTTAATTTTCTTGTAAAAATAATAGAAACACAAAAACAGACTCGATTTAAATAAAAACTATTCTGGACAAAGTACCTATTAATTTAATAATATAACATTTTAATCCCAAATTATTTTATGTATTATTTATGTATTTTTGTAGTTTTTTAAATTAATTTCTTAAGATATATAATTAGTATTTTACATAAGAAATGATGGCGGTATTACGTCTTAATAAAAAATAAAATTTTTTTGAAGATTAAAAAATGAGAATGCAACATTATTTTTAATTTTTAGCATTTTAAAGCTAATTCTAGACACAGGGCTCGAACCAGTGAAAGTATTTTAAAACACGGACTTTACGGATCAAAAATGAAAAATTACGGACCATTTACAGATCAATTACTGATAATACTGATAATACTGATAATACTGATAATACCAGTCCGAGTCAAATAAGAGAACATTTTACTTAAAATTATAAATTAAAATTTTTCAAAACTATAAAACATGAAAATATCGATCACTCCGAGTCTTCGACTCGGAGCAATCAATGTCTTCATGTTTTATAATAATTAAAGTTGGGGGTCAAAAATCTTTGAAAAACTGTCCACGTGGTATATGGACGGCCCCTTACAGTATTCAATTTTTCGAAAACTTTTTCAAAAAAATTAATTTCAAAATTTAATTATTTTTAAAAATTTACGCTATATTGCTCTTAATATTCAATTATTATCTAAGATTTTAACTAAAATTCATTTTCAAATCAATTTTTATTAGAAAATGCTACTAGAATTCAATTATTTAAGTACAAAAATAAATAATTTGTTGAATAATTGAATGTTTTTTAAAATTCAATTTTGTTAAAGAATTTTATCAACAAATCATTAAATAATTGAATTCTGTCGACGAATTTTAATAAAAATTTTAAGAATAATTACATTTTTCGAGGATTTTGATTAAAATTGTATTAAAAATAATTAAAATTCTGCAATGAGTTTTATTATTTATGAAAATAATTGAATTCCTAAAAAGAATTTTATTATTTACGAAAATAATTGAATCCCTGTAGAATTTTTTATTATTTATGAAAATAATTGAATTATTGGGAAGAAATTTATAAAAAAATGTGTAAATAATGAAATAACTGAAATTTTTATTACTTTTTGGAAATAATTAAAGGTTTGTGTAGAAATTTATTAAATTTTTTTTAAATAATTGAATTGTTTTTGAAAATTTTATTAGAATAGTAGATACCTATTAAATATCATTGAATTGAGGATAATTTTGGAAAATAATAGAAATTTTGCCAAGAATTTTATTAAAATTTTTGAATAAAATTGGATTTCGGAGAAGTAGGGTAACTGCACCAATTGCCGAGGGTGCTCCAATTGTCGAGGATAATAATTTTCTTTTTTAGATAAATAGTATAATATATAATATTTAAGAACAAAAAAAATTTCTAAATAATCTTTGTATTTTCAACTGTATATTTATATATACAAATTTCGTAGCGATTCTACTAAAATAATTATTTAATTAATATTATAATTCACTGCTGTAAAATTTACACGAATCTCCATTTTCTTAATACTTCTGGTTGATTAAAACAGATTTTTAGAAATGCAAATTAAACGTATTTATAATGACTTTTTGTGTACAAAATTATTATTATAATTTTGTACACGAACTAAATTAATTTTGTATGCATGTTTTTTTGTTAAAAAAAATATTTAATATTTTTTAAAAGCAAATCATCGGTATTTGGTTCCTTTTTTTTGACAGTTCCATTTTTCGAGGTAATGACTCGAAAATTGGTGTAGTCACTTTTTTCGCTGATGCACCATTTATCGATGGTTAAGTGTTTATTTACTAAACGTCCCAGTAAAAAAAAACTAATTCAAATGAATTGAAACGAATTAACATTTTTGGTAGGCTCCAATTCGTATTTGTCACAAAGCGGGATTCACTCAAGCTCTTTGTATATTCAATTGAATTTAATTCAATATGTACCAATCTGTCCAAACGAATTCGCATTCGAAAGAAATGGCCAAGGAATGCATTGAATTCGTGCTAACGAATTGAAAAAAAATTAAAGGCTCAAAACTTGTCCAGTGAATTGGTACGGATAGAAGGTTCGGAAGTTCAATACAGTTTCACGAATTCAGGAAAATTGCATCATGGCTCCAATTCGTATTTGTCACAAAGCGGGATTCACGAAAGCTCTTTGTGAATTCTTTTTAATTCATTTCAATTAGTTTTCGTTTACTGGGGTCAAACATAAATGCCAAACATTTATAGGTACAGAGAAAAAGAAAAAAAATGCTCCAAAAATTTACAACCAACAGAAAATAATCAACCAAAAAAACGAGGAAGAGGGAAAAAAAATTAATAAAAAAATGCATTATTTAAAACTAAAAAATTTTGTACTATAGTTTAATTATAATTAACCATTATATTTACAGTTCGTAATAAAAGTTTATTTTTTTCGTTTACAAATTTAATGTGACTTAAATTAATTTATTTTTTCAATTAATGTCTGATTAACAAAATTGATTAATTTTAATTAACTTATTTATAAAAGTTTAAAAAACAGTTAAATAATTTTCTGTCCTGTATCATCTACTATAAAAATGTTTTATATCGATATTATAAATTATTCAATTATAGTTAAATAAATATATTTGTTTTCTGGTAATGTTCTATAATATTTTTATCGAAAAAATTAATATCTACTCGATTTTCTGATATCTGTACAGGTTAATTGTTAGGTTATATTGGGTTATATGTTTAAAAATGTCATACCCTCGACAATTGGAACAGACCCTCGAGAAATTAGCACAAGACCATCGACAAATGGTGCTTTTGCTCGATTGACTTTTAAATATATTTTTTGCTTAACAATTTAGTTTATATTAAAAAAATAAATATGAATATTAAACATTATTAGATCCTTCGTCCAAATATACAAAAATCAAATTTTAAAGTGCATTTACTTCCGAGAAAAAAAATGTCAAAGTCACATGTTGCCTAAAACCCTCGACAATTGGTACAGTTACCCTATATCGTACAATTTACGGACTTTTCATCGTTTTTCAATAAAAAATTACGGACTTTACGGACCTTTTTTCAAAAAAACGGACTTTTACGGACTTGAAGCAAAGTTACGGACTGTTACGGGATTTATGGACCTAGTTCGAGCACTGTAGACACAACAAAAATGCAAAAAGAAAAATTTTCTTGTTTAAAATTCAAGTAAAATATGTTAACCAAGATTAAGTAATATGTTGGAATATGGCTGCTAAAGTTAGATGTAAAACCAACTTGCAACATCAATGAAATAAATTCTATTTTATTCATGTTAACCATTAATGAAAATTAATGTTGTTTATTTTATTTTAAATTTTTAGAAAAATTACATTTTTCCTTAGTGTTGCAAAAAAGTTTTTTAAAATGAAACTTGATTAGAAGTGTAATGATCATGATTTTAATTGCCAAAAGAATAGCTCGCCGGATGGAGTCCGGGTACTTGGTTTAGTTAATTTTAGCAAATTAGTCTTTAAATCTTTATCAAAACAGTATTTAAGTTTAGGACCGTATTATACTATCATTTAGAGTAAGGTGTAGTCATTAATAAGGCATTAATTAAACCTTCGTAAGAAAGTATATTTTAGTAACAAATAAAAGAATAACAAAATATCATAAACAAAATAAATTTAGATTAACAAAATAAATCGTAGAAATACTAGTAATAAAATATCGTTCGCTAATTTATTACCGAGAATAGTGACTCATATTAGTTTACCGTTTCACTATTGAACGTCTCACTTATTACGTATTTACCGAGTTCTACATACGTTACGTTATTATATTTTACTAACGAGCTACGCTTTACTAGATTTAATTATTCCCGAAGTTAGTCATGAATTTACTTCCCGATTTTCATATTGAACGATTACATAGGTTGTGCACTCTAGTGGGGACGATTTCACAAAATAAAACTAGGGAGAAATCGTGTCGATTAAAAGCCAGTATGCTCGCTGACCCTCTTATCCAATAGGAAAATATACCGAAATAATTAAATCTCTGTTCAAGCTTCATCTTCCCCCAAGATGTACCTTGGGTTGAAGAATCTACCTAGTGCATCAACTCTGTGGAGGTCGAGTTGTACCTCTTCACCACAGGGTTGGTTCACAATGGCAAGAAAGGTGTGAGAATGGAGCGACGGAGTATCAAGGGGTGTTACTACTGCACAGTTGTACCTGAGTCTCGAGTGCAGATCCCTCTAGGAAGTGGTGCAAACTAGCAGCCCCAGTTGTACCTGAGATACCGCCTGCTCGCTCCAGGTAGAGAGAAAGAATTAGTGCAAGCTAGCAGCCCCAGTTGTACCTGAGATACCGCCTGCTTGCACCAGGTAGAAAGGAAAGAGAGAAAAGAAGGAGAGAGTTGTCGTCGATCTTCCTCGGAGCAAGCCCCGAGTCAGTTCGACGGCGAACTGAGGAAATTGTCCGTGCGAGCATAGTATATAGAAGTCTGGTCGCTATCCAGGTAAGTTTCGCGGTGGGGAGCGTGACGTTGCCGTGACGCGCGGTATGTGCGCGGTGGCTACTCTCTTCGCGACTAGCAGGCTGAACGTGCTGTAGTATATATAGATATACTGTCTGTACGAAATATAATTTCTCACACTAGATTTTAAACGCTATCGTTACAGAAGTTATTCTAAATTAATAATTAATCTTTCTACTTTATACTAACTAACATTGTTTAATAATAATTATTTCACTCACCCGTGTGTAGAGGGCCTTTATGAGTGCCCAATTTCAAAGCGCCGGTTTTTGTATTAACCTGTCGCAAAATCGTCCCTTCTCCAAAAAACAATGGTTTTCTTGCGTCAACGACAATTGTGTCAAAGTATGTTTTCCAATTTCTATGAGGTTCGTCCGACTAGGATAAAATAAACAGAATTTGATAAACATTGGTCTAAAAAAAATAAATAAAAAAAACAAAAAATACTCTTACCCTCGCGCCATGTGGAAAGTCAAACAAGTACGTCATTATTTTATCAGTAAAAACATAATCACTATTCGTGAGGAGGAAAACTTTGGCTCCACTTTCTCTAATTCGAGCCAAGAACATAGGCAGCCTTATATCTTTCTTAACGTATTCATCTAAATTTTTAATTGTTTTACTTTTCAAATCGCCTTGATAATGTATCCAATCAACTGCATTTCTCACATCCTGAAAAATACTCTTAAAACTCATTGTCAAATCACCCTCTTTAACTCCCGTTTTCTCACGTGTGAATTGTGGTGAATTTGTAAAAAAATCTATTAAACATGCCAGCAAATATGTTTCTGGCAAATTAAACAGAGTATTGAGAACAAAAACTCTCGATTCGTCCAGTTGTAGAAATTTGTTCGGATATAATTCATAAACCTGGGAACTAAAATATTTTCATTAGCAAAATTATTCACAAAAAGAATTAAATAAAAATTGTAATTTAATAAAGATGAAAAAATATAAGTATAATATGTAAAATATTCCTCTTTGAATTTTAATGTAGTGACTAATTTTTATTGTTTTTAAAATATAACTTTTTTAGAACATTGTTTTGTCACGTCATTGATTAAGAAATCATGAGAGCAGCGTTAAAAAATGAAGAAAAAAAATGACTCAGTATAGGTATAAGAAAACTACACAAAGAGATGCTCTAAAGCATCTCATAATACATGAAGAATTATTTTATGTACAAATAATACTCACTGCTTTAAAAATTCAAATCCATGAACGCAGACTAAAATATTCCCGTAAGCGTCAACTTTAAGAAGATTGCCATAAAGCGTATCGAACCATAATCCTCTTACTGGAAAACTAGGATCATACTCAAACTCTTTGATTTCACGAGGATAACCAAGAGATACCAATCGATCTTTCACAAGGTCAAATCCTAGTTGTTCATACTGCGGAGATTTGTACTCTGAAAATTATCCATTACAATTATTTCATACATTCGTTTTCATACATTTAGTTTATTATTCTATGTGTGCGTCCGCATGAAAAGGACCCATTTTTTGTATATTAGTTTGTATTTTAGAAGATAATCGCAATTTTCCAAAAGTGCTTCAAATTTTTCACTTTAAATTATTCGTTTACTATAACTTTGTTGTAATTAAAACAACTAATAATCTTAGTTTTAAGTTTTAATTAACATGGCAATTTTTTGTGATTTTTTAACAGGGTTGCCACAGGTCAGGGAAGTCAGGGATTTTTAGTAAAAGTACCTACTGGAAAAAATTGAATTTTTAAAATTCATGAGAAAACTCTGAATTCAATTATTTTCAAAAAATTTAATAAAATTCTTGTCAAAATTTCAATTATTTTCAAAAATTTTCCTCATTTCAATTATTTTTAATATCTACTATTTTAATAAAATTTTACAAAAGAATTTTATTATTGAAACAAAATTTTAATAAAAATATCACAGGAATTCAAATACATACCAATTTTTTTAATATATTTCTTCGCGCCAATTCAATAATTTTAAATTTTTTAATGAAGTTTCTCCAAAGAATTCAAATATATTCAGAGAATTGAAAAAAGTAGTTCTAAGAAATTCAGTTACTTCGAAAAATTTAAATAAATTTCTTTTAAAAATTCTATTATTTAAAAAAAATTTGACAAAATTCTTTACAAGATTTAGTTAATAAACTTGCAATTTTAATAAAATTGTCCTATATACAATTCAATTATTTCCAATACAATTCTTCTTGAGAATTCAATTATTTTCATAAACAATACATTTTTTTAATGGGAATTCAATTATTTAAAAAAAATTTAAATAAAATTCTTCGCTGCAAATCAATTATTTTTATAAATAATAAAATTTTTCTTGAGAATTCAATTATTTGAAAAAATTTCGATAAAATGCTTTATAAATTTGAAAAATTATAATAAAATTGGTCGTAGAATAAAATTATTTTCGTAAAATCTTCGAAAGAATTCAATTATTTTCGTAAAAAATAAAATTCTTCAAAGAAATTTAATTATTTAAGAAATTTTAATAAAATTCTTCCCAAGAATTCAATTCTTTTCAAAAATAAACATTTTTCCAGGAATGTAATTATGTTCAAACATTAAAAAGAAAATTCCTTTCAAAATTTAAATTATCTTTATAAACAATGAAATTCTTCATCGAAATTCAACTATTTTAAAAAAATTTAATAAATTCTTTTGCAAAATTTCACAGGAATTCAATTATTTACAAAATTATTAATAAATTTCTTCGAAATAATTCAATTATTTTCATAAGTAATAAAATTTTCACAGGAATTCAATTATTTAAAATACAAAATTGTAAAATTTAAGTTAAAAGTTAAAGTTTAAAGTTTAAAGTTTTTAGTTAAAAGTTTAAGTTGTAAAATTTTTCGAAAAATATCAATTATTTAAAAAGATTTTTATAAAATTCGTCGCAAGAATTCAATTATTTAAAAAAAAATTAACAAAGTTGTTTTCAAGAATTCAATTATTATATTTTTATAAATAATAAAATTCTTCACCGAAATTCAATTATTTTTATAAACTTGAATAAAATTCGTTGCAAGAATTCAATTATTTATATAAATAAATAAAATTCTTCACAGAATTCAGTTATTTTTTTATAAACTCCCGTGTGGAAATTGCCAAGGTTTGCTAATATTGATTATTGGGTCTATAATGGTCCTAGCTTGGAATGTACCTTAACCTGGCCCTAGCTTGGTAATAGCTAGAACTTCTTGTTAGATTATAGGGGAGAGTGGTCCTAAGTTGGCCGTGGGCCTAAGTTGGCCACCCTGCATTTCTCAGAGATGGTATACTGGACGAATCTATAATTTTGTGGTATGATATATTGATAAACCATGATATAATTTATGGACCTAATTATAATCTAAGATTCTTCTACGCATTGTGGGGACAATAATATTGTTTTCGACTAAAAAAATTTGATTTTTCTTGTTTTCTCGAGAGCAGCTACAAGAGATAAATAATTAAAAATTTCTATATGAGTGTGTGCGCTAGTTCCTTTATTTAATGTTGTAATAAGAGGTTTTGTTGATTTTTTAATTAAATTTTTTTTATTAGCGTAATAATTTGAAACTTGTAAAAATCTACAGTGGTCCTAAGTTGGCCACCTATTGTTTTTGTTTGTTTTTATTTATGTTTTATTTCTTTTTTGTGTTTTTTATCACGAGAAAGACCGTAAAAGTGTAACGTAGGAATTAAACAAAGACAAAAAACAAAAAAAATGGTTTAAAAAACATTAGAAAAAATGAAGTACAAAAACGCCTGTCTCTACAGCCATCCACCACAGTAAATAAATGAAATAAAATATTGTTTCATTTTCTAAACAAAAATAGTTAAATAATGCGTTTTTATTCTCCTAAATGTATCAAATTTGTAAAATTTCTGCGTAATTGAAAAGAATATGCATTTCTTTCTTATACTCAAGCGAAAAAAAGTGGTGGCCAACTTAGGACCAGGGGGTGGCCAACTTAGGACCGCTATTTCTGAAATGTCCAAAATGCAGCTTTTCACGATTTATTGTATTAAGACTACAAAAGTCATTCTATAACGTTCTAAATACCACAAAATTATAGCAAAACGATCTCTGAACACTAATATATACTTGCCGAAGTGATTAAATTTCATTTTGTTACTATTTTCGACCAATTTGCTTAGGCGGCCAACTTAGGACCACTCTCCCCTAAGTTATAAATATATTTAAAAATATGTATCAGTAATTCTTTATGTGTAATTTGAAGTAATATTTAAACATCTCATATAAGATTGAGACAATATTGAACTGAAATGTTTACCTTTAACTTTTCATTTGTAAAATTTGACAGATTATCAATAGAATTCTACTAATTGCTATTATCAGAATTGAGTTACTAATAATTAGTAGAAAGCTACTGATTCGATTAGTAAAATATAAGTTACTGATTCAATCTGTTGTATAAAAATATGACATAGTCAAATTTACTAATTTATCAGTTGAATTTAAAGGTTATGTTGATTTCTCTTTGGCCACCAGTATATTTACAGCATATCCCTGTAAAAAAAAAAGTATTGGGAGGTACGGGATTCCGTATTGCAAGTGCCAACCTGCCAATGCGGTATTCGCGAATTACCGCATTGGGTGTCGTGGTGAATACGGAAATCAAGGGGTCCCAATGCGGTGCCAGTTTTAAGCTTTAAAAAAACGAAAATACGTGACAGGAGGAAATAATTAGTGTCAGTGGAGAAATATGCGAGTTAAAGGAATGAGAAAACAATAATAGTGAGTGTAAAAATGAAATTTTAAGAAAAAAAGGTAAGTTGAACTGTCAAATATGGGCCCAATGCGGCATAGGCTGATTTCAATGCGCCACAGCAAAAGCAACTTTGACTGGTTTGAATGGCGTGAAATAGGTAAACAAACATTTTCTAACACATTTGTCTCCGTACACAGACACTTTTCACTAAATCTGCCAACGTACAATTGGTAAGCATCTTCTAAATTACAATAATCGAAAATATTGTTTAGATTCATGCAGAAACGTGGTTATAAAATAAAAAATTGGAAAGTAATGTAATGCAAATCATATGTCAGCTGGGCCACTGTGTTCGCTCGATTTGCTCTGCTTGCTTCTGCCCTCTACTGGCGACTTGCACTATGTACCGATTGTGTACCGCATTGAAAGCAGCCTACGCCGCATTGGACTCATATTTGACAGTTCAACTTACCTTTTTTTCTTAAAGTTTCATTTTTACACTCACTATTATTATTTTCTCATTCCTTTAACTCGCATATTTCTCCACTGACACTAATTATTTCCTCCTGTCACGTATTTTCGATTTTTTTAAAGCTTAAAACTTGCACCGCATTGGGACCCCTTGATTTCCGTATTCACCACGACACCCAATGCGGTATTTCGCGAATACCGCATTGGCAGGTTGGCACTTGCAATACGGAATCCCGTACCTCCCAATACTTTTTTTTTACAGGGATCCTTAGTTCCGAAGCTTATGAAAGTTAAAATAAATCTTTAAATGTCTTCAGTTTTTCAATGTTGGGCGCATAAGTTGACTAAACATTGCATGAATGTTTACAATTTTCTTTAATTTTTTAAGTTTTTCAAAACTTTTTAAAATTTTCTTTAAACTTCCTCCTTTAAAGAAAAAATTCATTTAAATTAAAAAAAATTTTTACTTCATGCAATGTTCAGTTAACTTTTGCGCCCAACATTGAAAAACTGCTGACATTAAAGATTTATTTAAAGTTTCATGAGCTTTGATTTAAGCTTCAGTTAATTAACTCAATTAAAATTTTCATTACAATATATTTTTCAAGTTAAATTTTTAAAACCGTTCACGGATTTGTTAACTTCTGTTAAAATCATATTTTGTTGAATGAAACTGAAGTTTGCAACATTTACGTCGACGAAAGGAGATAAAAACTTCAATTTTTAAATAACAATTGACTTTCCGTCCCCGATTGGATTAAAAATCTATGCAGGATGTAATGAAAAGAACAATTAAGTTCTTTTTATCAGAAATTATTTGCATCTCGATCTTTAAAAAAATTTTTTTCTCATTTTGCGTCAACGAAAATATGTTACTGACTTCAGTTTTATTATTTTGAGGCATTCATAATGGAATAGTTCATATGACTTATGATGACAAGAATAACCTGAAGTATCATGCAACACATCGTACCAAGCGAGCGTGGTTAAGTGGTTAGGTTATCGGTTTACGAATGTTAGGGTCGTGCGTTCAACTCCCAACGTGTGGGGATTTTTTCTCTGTTAGTATATAGGAATTAAGTATTATAAATTACATGATAACAAAAGTAGGTAAAAAAAAGTTGAAATAATGAATCTCAATAATAATAAATAATAAATAAGAATAAATAATTTTTTTTAAATAGTTAATTGGCGATTCAAACAGTTCAAGCAGCGC